CCGCCCGTCTGCGCGGCGAGGTGCCGCGCCACTGCCTCCAGCAGCGCCGGCGCCACCGCCGCGTACGCCTCCCCGCCGCCGGGCAGCCGCCGCCCGCCCGGCTTCCGCGCGGCTTCCGCCAGGGCGGCGAGCAGCTGCTCGAGCGCCCCGAGTGCCGCGGCCCTGTACTTGGCCTTGCGGCGGCCGGCCGCGCCGAGCAGCGCGGACACGAGGCGCGGCGTCCCTGGGTCGGACGCCAGCGGCGCGCAGCACGCGGAGCACAGCGCGCCCAGTGCCGCGACAAGCGACTCCTTTCCGTCCCACAGGCGGCCCGCGGTGGCCTCAGGCAGCAGAGCGGCGGCGAGGGAGGGGGCGTAGGGGGCCAGCGCCTCGCCCGCGTCGGCGCACATGGAGGAGAGGGCCTGTGGTGACATCATAATGGCGTCATCATGCACGGGCTCAGCGCTCATGCACGGGTTGCACCATGATTCCAGCAACAGTTGAGTGTGGTCAGCTGGTTCATTGAGCGCTACGATGACGCAGCCGGTGCCTGGACTGGGGCCCTTTTCAGACCCAAAGCTCCATGGTCACTCGCAGCGATCTTTGGAGCCTGAAGCGAGCCGTTGCCAGGCGGCGCAGGGACGCGGAGGGCCCGCGCGGCCAGCTGCCGACGCACCTCTGCGCAGGCCTTCTTGCGGCCCCAGCTGCTGGCCTTGAGGCCGCCAGCCACCAGCGACGACAGCTCCTTGGCGTGCATGCGCAGCTGCAGTCGCAGCAAGGGTGGGGGCGTGCGCAAGGAGGGGTGATCTGGGGGAGGTGGTTAGGGACAGGGATGGCTGGTAACCTGTGGGCTTTGATTAAGATTGCGCCGGCAGAGGTGGCTTCTGATGGGGGAGTCAGAAGAGCTCGGCTGTTGTCTTGCGATTTATTAGCAACATGAGCTTTGCACAAAGCCCATATTGAGATCCAGCTGAGGGGCTGGGCCGTGCACGCATGCAGGACCAATCAAGGATGATCTGGGCAAGCGCGCCGCCGCCGCTCGCGCGCGCCGTTGCACACCGCGGCTGCCTCGCTGGGCGCCCCTTCCTCCCAGACGGTGCGCCACGCGGCCGCTACGTCAGCGCTCTCGTCCATCTTGCCCAAAAAGGCGACAGGGAGGACCTGGTTTTATCAGGCATTTAAGACGTTGAAGTGCAGACGTTGAAGTCGTCGTTGATTTGAGGCGTGTTCTTTCTGAAATCATACCTCTGCCTTGGATTGTCTATCCAAGGTAGGAACAGCAGGTAAGAAAGCATCTCTTCGCAACAGCAGGGAGGCAGCCACTGCATCATTACTGCAGACCTTTCCGGCAGCCCGGCGTCCGCCTGCTGCGCACGAAATACGCTGCTGTAAGAACCAGGCTGGCCAGCAGGTCGCCTGGCATCCTCGCCGCCCCCTTTCCCCTGCCCCACACTGAAGCGTCGCTCTGACTCCCAAAGGTCCCCGAGCGCCCCCACCTCCGATGCGTGCCGGTTGAACCCATCGGGACTGGCCCGCATCAGCTCCCGAAGCAGCAGCGCCCCCGCCAGCCGCTGCCCCTCGTCCCCCGCCCCGCCGCCGCCGTCCCCTTCTTCGCCGGCGGCGGCGGCGCCGTAGCTGGCAACAGAGTCCGCGATAAACTTGGATAGTCGCTTCTCACCACCAGATCTGGACGCGACGAGCGCAGCAGCGGCCGCGTAGGCCTTGCGAACGCCCGCGCTGCGCTCCGCGGCGACGGCGGAGCGGAGCGCCTTGAGCAGCTGCGGCACGGGCGAGCGCGCGGCGGCGGCGGCGCCGGCGGCGGCGGGTGCGTCCGAGGCGTCCTTGTCGGCGGGGGCCGGGGCGGAGAAGGCGCCGCGCTGCGCGAGCGACGAGATGAAGTGGGCCGTGCCGGCCTTCGTGTTCAGGCCCACGCCTGCAGTTGATGTCATTGGCGTAGCGGCCGTCAGGACGGCGGCGTTGCAAGGTCGGGGTGAGCCATGGGAATTTCAGGCAAACAAGCAGCCGCTGCAGGGGATTGCGGGTGGGGGCGAAGGGCAGCACCAATTTGCAGCCAGAGTATCCAGGACCGGAACAGGGCGGTTTGAAACAGATGATGGCACTGCTTGTGGCCCTTCAGGGCTCTCGTGCCATAAGCAATGTGTTGTGATACGCAATCCGAGCCTCCACGACAGCCTTTTGCCCACGGCTCACCCCTCCTGACGAGGCCCGTCAGCTCGGGCGCCAGCTTCATGGCAGCTGCCCCAGTGGGGTCCGACGCGACGCACCTGCGCGCATGGGGCAAGAGCGGGCGCCACGATTTGCAAAGCTGCAAGCCAACACCTTTGTCAGCGGTGTTTGCTGGGGCAGTCAAAGGGCTGGGGGTGAGACCAACAGCACATGGCAATCATCACAACAGGGTGTTGCCTCACGCAGGCGCCCAACCGGTCTGGGGCGCCGGCCACGCGTCTCCCGGTTGCCGTGGGCCCCAGGGTGTCAAATCACTGTAGACCCTACCTAACCCCAACTGCCCCGGGCCCTCTGGCGGGCCTCAAGCACGCAGACATCCGATGTGCAGGGCCCCGGGCAGCCCAATTCAATCAGCCCCTCGGCCATGGTTGATTGTTGTGTTGCCCATCATGCGGGGCACGAGCCCGTCCCTTGGGTCTCACGTTCCCCCGACCGGCTCAACGCCCCAGTGCCGTGCCGTGTACCCCAGCTCGATGCGCGCAGCATTTCCCCTCAATCCCCAGGCAAAAATCACCCCAGACTCCTTTCTGAGAGGCACACAGCCTCAGCGCACAGCCCACATTCATGCTCGTCCCCCCACCCCCATCTTCCATGCTTTGTCACCTGGCCAGCAGGTCGAGTGCGTCTGACAGCGGGCTTGAGCGTGCCGCGGCGAGGCGTGCGGAACTGGGATGTGGTGCAGCGTGCAGGGGCAGGAAGCAAGCGGTGGAGGGATGCTTGTCAGCAACGGGAAAGAGAAGTGAGTGGTCGTGCAGAGTCCATGGAGACCGGCATCGGCATCAGGTGGGATGAAAGTAGCAGTTCAGCGCAAGGCACTTCTACATAGCAGAGCGGCACCCACACGCGCACGGCGGAGTAGACGGGCGGGGGCGTCGCGGGCGCGAGGGCGGGGCTCACTCAAGGGCGCCGGCCGCATCGTCGCCGCCAATGCGCTGCGCGTGCTGCTCAAGATAGTTCAGGCGTACGTCCTGTCGCGGTTGAGCGGCAGTTGCAAGGGGCGGTTACACACACGCCGTTGAGAGCGATTGCAAGCAGCCTTGTTGGGGTTTGACTGGCAAGCGGGCGGCACTGCAGGCCAGAGTCTTGGCGACACTGTTCTCGCAAGGCTTGGCCCCTCTTCACCTGCAATGACATCCCGGTCAACCCCCAACGCTCCCCGCGTTGACCAAACCGCGTCAACTGAACAAACAAGGGCCCGCCTTAACCGCGTACCTCCAGGCCGCTGAGCGCCTCCAGCAGTCCGGGCGCCAGCGCGGGCGCCAGCGGGGCGAGGGGGCCGGGGCCGGCGCTGCGGACCGCCTGGGTCAGCACGTCAAGAGACAGCCCCCGCACCTGGCACAAGTGGGTTTGCACAAGACGTGCCGAATTGCACAATTTAGCATGAAAAATGAGAAACCCATCTTCGAAGCTGCCAAATGTTGCTGGACAAAGGACTTCAGATCACCGCATGCAGAGAGCGCTGCACCGCTCAATCTTGCTCACGAATGCGCAAACGCCAAGACAACACCAGCTCGAAGAAATCACGGCGCGTGCACAACAGGCCCTTGCCCTTTGGCCTGAGCCAAGCTTGGCCGCCTCCCCACCCCATGCCCCACCCCTCACCCCATGCCCCATACCCCACACCTCCGGAACGCTGCTGGGCAGGCCCGTCTCGAGCATGAGGGGCAGCAGCGCCTCGCAGCAGGCGCGTACGTCGCGCGGCGGCGTCTGGGCTGCGTCCATCAGGCGCAGGCTCGTGCCGCGCAGCGTTCTGAGAGGGAGGCGGAGGGGCAGAGAGCACTGTATTAGGAAGATCGAAGAAAGCATGCGTAGGTGCGGATGCTGTTCTCAGCTGCAGCGGGCGGCGCAGGCGCAACCGTTGCCCTGACAAACGGGCCGCTGTGCTGGAAAAGGAAAGGAAGACATTGTAGAGTGGAGGAATCCAGGACGCCGCGCGCCTGTGCTGCGGCCAGTGCAAAAGGCATTCCACCACTCATGTTTTTGCAACGCGCCAGCCAGCAGCCCGACTCTGTCAATGCTCACAAGCTCCAGCCGCAGCAGTCCGGCTGGCAGCTTATCTGCCTGACTCATCAGCCCACCTGGCGGTCAGCGCAGCGGTGCGCCTGACGCTCTCCTTGACGTCATCGATGACGCGCAGCGTCATCACCCACATCTGGATCGTGTGATGACGTTGCCATGCGCCGGGGCGTCAGCGGTCGTCGGCAGGGAGCTCAGGCCTGCATGCCTTCAGGCATGACATGCCTCAAATCATGCCTGTATTCTTTGCTCGCTCCACTACAGCGCTTGTCCAGCTTACATACGAGCAATGAATTCGTTTGTGCTATCGAGGAGCGCAACAATGCCGGGCAAAGCGCGACGCATGCAGCAGTGGAGGAGTTCTGCCGCGGTCACGCCTCAGCCTTACCTCCTTGATGTGCGGCCCGAGCTGGTCCCAGCGGCGGCCCTGCACATAGCAGGGGGGTAAGCAAAGGCGGCGGCAGTGCAGGGAAGGCACTTTTGACAGTCGGCAATGCATGTGCCTCAACAGCTCCTGGATGGCTGAATTGGAAGCGCATCCCACATGCCAGGTAAAAAGGCGTCACACAAAGATACACGTTGAAAAACGAACCACCCGGTCAATTGTACCCTTTCATGCAAGTCGCGCAGGCTACGACCACACGCGCAAGTGCACGTTCACATCATTCCCAGGTCAGATCAGATCATTTTATACCAAATCATGAGGTCTCACCTGCAGCAGGTCTGCCAATGCGGCCGTGGCGGCCTGGCGCCCCTTCCAGGTGCGGCCCCCCATCTCCCGCAGCAGATCTCGGCAGATCGCGTCAAAGTGGGCGTCCACTGTTCGACAGACACACGGGATGTGAGTTGGATGATAAGTGGTCAGGTTCAGGTGCGTTCACGGATTGGGTGTCAAGGTTTGAAGGTCTGCGGGGCTGGCAGGTGCGTCTGGCTGCCGCAGCCAGCCTGCGCAGTGCTGATGCCCCCTGACCCTGTGAATTGTGACCGCAAGCGCGGCAAGCAAAATATCACACACCCTCGACCCCTTCAGAAAATCAGGCATTTTGACACCCCCACACGCCATACTCCAAATTACAAC